AAAAGCAGAGACAGCGTAACATTTATAGCTGCCATCACAAGCATAAGTACAACACTGATGGAAAAATGAATATATATATATTTATATATATATATATAAACACACACACACACACACACACACACACATATATATATATATATGTAATGTGTGTGTGTATGGATGGATGGATGGATGGATGGATGGATGGATGGATATAAAGATATATATATATATATATATATATATATATATATGTAATGTGTGTGTGTATGTATGTATGGATGTATGGATGGATGGATGGATGGATGGATGGATGGATGGATAGATGGATATATATATATATATATATATATATATATATATATATATATATATATATATATATATATATATATATATATATATATATATATAATTGAATAAATTCAGATTCACAGAAATGAATAATATCAAAAATAGAACAGATAGGGAAAAAATAAAATGTTAAAATTATTGAAAAATATTTTTAAAAATATTTATAATATAAAAAAAAATTAATGAAATATATGACTAAATTTGTCAAATAAAATAATCAAATTTACATATAAAATAATTGTTGATATTTTCTACCAGTTTCCATAAGACGCATTCAAAAAGTACAGAGAGATCGAGACCAGAAAAAAAACAACCTTTCATGAAGTCTAAAAGCATGTCATTCTTTTTGTTATTAATTTGCATAAGAGGCTTTTTCAAGGCTTTCATTTCTGCAAATGATGATTAGATATGAGTGGAGCACAGATGTGATATCAGACTTCTGAACATCAGGACCTTTTGACTCTTCACCAAACTGAGCTATTGGGGGACAAGAGCCTTAGTGAGAGAGGTAAAGAAGAACTCAAAGATCACTGTGTCATCATCACCCGTCCAATACAGTCCCAACAGTGAAGCGCGGTAGTGGCAGCATCATGCTGTGAGGGTGTTTTTCAGCTGCAGGGACAGAATGACTGGTTGCAATTGAGGAAAAGATGAATGCGGCCAAGTACAGGGATATCCAGGATGAAAACCTTCTCCAGAGTCCTCAGGACCTCAGACTAGAGCTAAGGTTTACCTTCCAACAAGACAATGACACTAAGCACACAGCAAAAATAACGAAGAAGTAGCTTCACAGCAACTCTATGACTGTTCCTAAATGGCCCAGCCAGAGCCCTGACTTAAACCCAATTAAGCATCTCTGAAAAGACCTAAAAATGGCTGTCCACCAATGTGTACCATCCAACCTGACAGAACTAGAGAGGATTGCAAGAAGGAATAGCAGAGGATCCCCAAATCCAGGTGTGAATAACTTCCCAAAAAGACTCATTGCCGTATTAGACCAAAAGGAGCTTCTACTAAGTACTGAGCTAATCTTGTGCACATTAATGAGAAAAAAAAGTCGAATTTAAATGATTTTAGGAAACGGCTGCAAAAATATATAGATTAATGGGGCTAATAATTTTGACCTTAAAATTTTTTTAAATTTTTTTTTATTAAAAACTGCTTTTATTTTAGCCGAAATAAAACAAATAAGACTTTCTCTAGAAGTAAAATTATTATCAGACATACAGTGAAAATTTCCTTGCTCTGTTAAATGTCATTTGGGAAATATTTAAAAAGAAAAGAAAATTCAAAAGGGGGTAATAATTCTGACTTCAACTGTATATATTTAAATAAACAAAAATACAAAACCAAAATATTTGCATTTACATTTACATTTATATATAATTAATTTGTATTAGATATACATTTAACCTGTAACACTTAGATGCAATAAACATTTTCTCAAATATTTCCATGTATGTGTGTATTTATATATACACAAAAAACAAGCATATTACACATATCTAAATATTTTACAAGCTTTTATTTTGGATGTGATTACTCAGGATTACTCTTTTGAAAGGACTAATAAATCAAATTAATTCTCACCTATGTATCAGCTTAAAAAACTAAATGTTACAACATATAAAGACAGAACGGTTTGTGTGAGGACTATGCAAAAATAGCAGACATCATTATCTCAGTATATGAGCAAAAGAAGTCAACGGAAAAACAAGAAGAAGTCCATGACAGAAAAACAAATGTGAAATGTGTGTGCTGACATGTTTGATGGATGCTGTTATTGGTTTGTGCTATAATGTCATTCCACCCACACACTCCAGTGGAGAGACAGAATAAGAAAACATAAGACAGACAAGAAAATAAACTGCACTGTCAGAAACAACGATGGTTTTCTTAGGCCTGTCCAAAAATAAAACAGCAACACGAGAGATAGAGAAAGAGCGAGAGAAAGAGAGAGTGTGTGAGAGAGAGAGAGTGTGAGAGAGAGATTGTAACCCTTCTGACCCACAACTGTCTAAATAATGGCTGTTGTCAGTTTGGAGCTGTCAAGAGAGCCATTCTTATTTTTATTCCTATCACATACATACCAGAAGTTTACGTACACTCTCTAAAAAAAAGGAACATAACCATTTTTTTAATTTATTTTAAAATTTCTAGGCAGTCAAAAGTTTACACACATTTCCTTGGTATTTTTTTAGCTTTGCTTTTAAACTGTATAACTTTGGTCAAATGTTTTGGGTATCCTTCCACAAGCTTCTCACAATAGTTTGAAGGAATTTTGGCCCATTTCTCCTGACAGAATTGCTGTAACTGAGTCAGATTTGTCGGCTGTCTTGCTCGCACAAGCTTTTTCAACTCTGCCCACAAATTTTCTACAGGACTGACATCAGGGCTTTGTGATGGCCACTCCAAAACATTCACTCTGTTGTCCTTAAAGCACATTTACCTAATTTGGCAGTATGCTTAGGATCATGATCTGTTTGGAAGACCCATTTGTGGCCAAGTTTTAATTTCCTGGCTGATGTCTTGAGATGTTGCTTCAGTATTTCTACACAATGTTCTTTCTTCATGATGCCATCTATGCTGTGAAGTGGACCAGTCCCTCCTGCAGCAAAACAGCCCCACACCATGATGCTGCCGCCCTTATACTTCACAGTTGGGATGGTGTTCCTAAGCTTGTAAGCTTTCCCCTTTGTCCTCCAAATGTAACACTGGTCATTATTGAAGGTTGAATCTTAGTTCCATCAGACCAGAAATAATTATTTTTCCTGTAATTGAGCAAACTGTAACCTGGCTTTTTTGTTGATTCTGGCTTGTTGATTTTCCCATGTTGTCACACAAGGAAGCAGTGTGTGTTTGAGGTTTTGCTTAAATACTATTCTACAGTTGTGCCTCCAATTAACTCAAATGTTGTCAATTAGCCAATCAGAAACTTCCAAAACCTTGACATCATCATCTCAGCTTTTTCAGAGGCATAATAATCTTATTGTATGTAAACTTGACTTTCAAGAAAAGTTATAATAATTTCTCAAAAAGAATCTCTCTCATTATTCTGCTATTAAACAGAACAGAAACACATTTGATCATCCTAACTTACCTAAAAGAGAAAAAGTTAATCACATTAACATCTGACTATTTTATAAATGGTTATGTGCCTTTTTATACAGTGTATATTAACTTCTAGTTTCAACTATTTTTTTGTCTAAAAATAGCCAGACGCCCTCTAATTTCACACAGATTTCCATCTGAGCTGTGACGCTCTTTTGAAAGACAGAAGTCAAGGATTTCATCATCAGCAAAGACAAGTGCTTCAGTGTGTTTTCTTCCAGTCTAGCATCATTACGACAGACAGGACTGACGCTTCCTATCATCCCTCAGTCTCTCTCTCTGTCAGCCAGACACGCTTCGCGGCCTTGCTGACCTATTAAACTAATCGCCATGAATGAAAGATTTTTCACATGACACTGGTCCCGTCAGAGAGCAGCTGCAGATGGTGGATCTGTGAGATGCTTCGGGTTTGTAACGAATCATCAATCCTCGCCGTCAGAACGAGGCAAAATCTCACAGCAATCACTGATCAAACCAGATCTATTATGAGTCACACAGCTATAACACACCTTCGGGTGTTGTTTGTCACTGGATAACCATTTCCTGTTTACACACTGATGTCACACGCATTTTAAAAGAATTTCAGATATTTTTTTTTATAAATATAAAATGTATATATATATATATATATATATATATATATATATATATATATATATATATATATATATATATATATATATATATATATATATATAATATATACACACACACACATATATATATATATATATATATATATATATATATATATATATACATACATACACATATATATACATATACATGTGTGTGTGTGTGTGTGTGTGTGTGTGTGTGTGTATATATATATTTTTTTTTTTTTTTCCCAGAGATAGGTTAAGGCTGGAAGGGCATACGTTGCGTAAAAACGTGCTGGATAAGTTGGCGGTTCATTCCGCTGTGGCGACCCCAGATTAATAAAGGGACTACGCCGAAAATAAAATGAATGAATGATTTTTTTTATTATTATTTTAATGGTCAAATTTCACATTCATAAATGTAAATTTACTTTAAGTCTGTTTTAATGCACCTAAAATAGAATGTAATCTGTTGTTAAACACTAGCCTAGCACCGTCTGTTATTGACAATTAAACTCAGAATCCAGAGAATGTTGAAGCATTTTGAAAATCTCAGAATCGATGCAGAATCAATTTAATGATTTTTTTCACAGCTCTGTATGCAACACAGAAAGACGTTCTGTTTCTCCAAGCATAATACCAGAGTTTTATAAATGAACTGCTCACTTGATTGCCCGTGCTTACTTAATTTTCCCTTCACATCTGCTGTAAATGCTTTGCAAGTTAGCTTCATGCTTCCAAAAACTGTGCAAGGTAATGACATCCACGCTAATTAAGCATCAATAAGGTATATCAGTTTAAAAGACTCTCGACAATTAATCAATTGTTGATTAATCAATAGCATCCATTGTATGATCTGAAGATGTTTGTAATTGATTCTATCTGATTAATTGAAGGTGTTAGACCATTAAAGGCTGTCAGGTCTCTATGTGTCCTAAAAAGGGGACTGCTCAC